GGATGGAAGCATATGGAGGTGGAGATGGAGTTGTATGGGGGTGGAGATGGAACCATGTGGAGATGGAATCATATGGAGATAGAGGGGTGGAGATGGAACCATGTGGAGATGGAGGGGTGGACAGGGAGCCATATGGAGAAGATGAAGCTCTGGGGAGGATATGGGATGGAGGGAGTGGAAGAGGTTTGGACAGAAGGGTGGAAGGAGAAGCCACATTGTCCTCACCTCATCCTCATCCCCGTAGTGGGACCTGGTCTGCAGCTACCGGCAGCTCCGGCAGATGGCCCAGTCCATCTACATGGCCGGGGTCCTGGTGGGCGCCCTGGTCCTGGGAGGCCTCTCGGACAGGTAAAGACACCAGAGAGCCTCTACCGCCCCCGTGCCTCAGTTTCCCCATCGGCCATTGGCCAGGCCGTCACCCGGCGCCTCCCTCCTGGTGCAGGTTTGGGCGCAAGGCCATGTTGATGTGGTCCTACCTGCAGCTGGGGGTGATGGGGACGTGCACGGCCTTTGCCCCCAACTACGCGTCCTACTGTGTCTTCCGCTTCGCCGGCGGAATGGCCCTCTCCGGCTTCGGCCTCAGCATCGCCTGCCTGGGTGAGGGGGTGGGGAGGACGACCACTGCGGGCACCTGGGTGGGGACAAGCGGCATGGCCAAGGGTGGAGACAACCCGGGGGAAGCGGATAGAGGTGTCCCAATGGCCATGAGTGGGGTCATCATCATGATCATGGAAGTGGATGTCCTCAACGACCATGGTTGGGGTCATCACTGTGGCCATGGGTGGGGTCATCACCGTGGTCATGGAGAGACACATTGCCATGGTCATGGAGGTGGATGTCCCCAACCGCCATGGTTGAGGACATCACCATGGCCATGGAGAGGGACATTGCCATGGCCATGGAGATGGATGTCCTCAATGACTGTGGTTGGGGACAGCAGTAAGGATGGCCATAGATGGCCCAATGGCCATGGGTGGGGTCATCACTGTGGTCATGGAGAGGGACATTGCCATGGTCATGGAGGTGGATGTCCTCAATGACCATGGTTGAGGGGACGGCGATAAGGATGGCCATGGATGGCCCAATGACCATGGGTGGGGGTCATCACTGTGGCCATGGGTGGGGTCATCACCGTGGCCATAGGTGGAGTCATTGGGTGGGGACATCACCGTGGCCACAGACGGGGCCACGTGGTGCGGAAGCATCTGGACACGATGGGGAGGCCACGTTCACAAGTTGGGTCATGGAAGGGGAGTGGTGGTGGTGGGGACACACCACCTCAGACGTGTCCCCATGGTCCCTTGCAGTGGTGGAGTGGATCCCCACGCCCTACCGTGCTGTCACCGTGGCCATCACCGGCTTCGCCTACACCCTGGGCCAGATCCTGCTGGCGGGCATGGCCTACGCCGTCCCCCACTGGCGCTGGCTCCAGCTCACCGTCTCCGTCCCCTTTTTTGTCTTCCTCCTCTACTCCTGGTAGGACGCTTGAGGTCACTCAGAGAAGGCCACGGGGACACGTCGGGGGGTTCTCTTCGTGCCTCAGTTTCCCCTTTGTTGACTGCAGGTGGTTGGCCGAGTCTGCCCGTTGGCTGGTGCTCTCAGGGAAGGCCGAGAGGGCCGTGAAGGTCCTTCAGCGAGTGGCCACCATTAACAAGAAAAAGGAGGAAGGGGAGAAGCTCACGGTGGAGGTATGGTGGCCCCGTGGACTGGGGCTGGGTCTTGGTTTCCCACCCTGCGTCCCACCAACATCTCCCGTTTTCCCCTCTCCCAGATCTTGAAGTCCAACATGAAGGAGGAGTTGGCTGGTCTGAAGTCCTCCTACACCGTCTCTGACCTTGTCCGGACCCCGGTCATCCGTCACATCTTCTTCTGCCTCTCCATCGTCTGGCGGGGCTGGGCTGG